ATTGCCAATGGTCCTCCAGAAAGTGAGATGTAGAACTGAGTCTTGAACTCGCGTCCTCAGATTTCACATGCCGGCTCATACCACGCTGACTTGAGCGACTCCACCTGGGGGGTTTGGGGACCCGAGGAGGAAGGAGACAGGGAGCCCTCCCTCTGAGCACCGTTCCTTGCGTGCAGTTGCACCTGCAGGGAGGCTGTCCCAGAAGGTCTTTGTCTTTGCAGCCTCCCACTCCTGCACCCCTGAAGACAGAACTGTGTTTAACCTAGAGCATTACCTGCCTCGGTTTCCCCCCCCCCTCCAGGTGGGGCGGTCGCCTCTCTGCGCTTGGCCCAGCCCGGAGGAGGCAGCTGGGCAGATGGCGCTGCGGCTGGCTGCACAGTGGTCGGCCTCTCAAGAGCTCGCGGTGCTTAGTGGAAGTCGCTCTGACAACATTCCTCTCCTGGCAGCCGTGTACTCTCTCCTCCAGCCGTGTGCAAGCAAATGGCTTTGCAGCAGCTTCCCTCACGACCAGCCCGGGCAGGCTCGGCTACAAGCACGAGGCCTACGCATTTGCATACACTTCGTTTGTTTAAATCCTTCCACAAGGACTTCCCCAGATTTCATTTTCTCTTTCCTTTCCCCGGGTTTCCCTCCAGGTTGTATGAACACAGTTTATTCTTTTTAATCAATGTTAGGATTATTAAAAACAAACAAACAAAAAGCAAACGAACAAAGAAACCCCCACGCCTCCAAATGCACAAATAAGCAAACAGAAAATCAGACCAACAAACGCATGTGTCCTATATAAATCAGCAATCCCCAACCTTTTTGACACCTGGGACTGGTTTCATGGAAGACAGTTTTGTCCACAGGGCTTGGGGAGGGTCAGGGGGAGAGGTGGAGGAGGCTGGGGGGTGAGAGATAGGGGTGGGGGTGATGGTTTCAGAATGATTCAAGCACATTAGATTTGTTGTGCAAACCACTTCGCTGCTAATGATTATGCGTATTTGCAGCCGCTCCCCAGCACCAGCATCACCACTTCAGGTCCACCTCGGATCATCAGGCCTTAGGTTCTCATAAGGAGCTGCAATCTAGATCCCTCCCATGCGCAGTTGACAGTAGGGTCCAGGCCTATGAGAATCTAAAGTCCCGCTGATCTGACAGGAGGCGGAGCTCAGGCGGTGACGAGCGATGGGGAGTGGCTGTGAATACAGATGAAGCTTTGCTTGCTGCTGCCCACTGCTCCCTCCTGCTGTACAGCCCAGTTCCTAACCGGCCGCAGACAGGCCCACAGCCCAGGGTTAGGGACTACAGCTATAAACCCATTAAAAGTGCTTCCTTAGCACGATCCTCATCAGCTTCTAATTCAGAGACTGTTTCTTACATGGTTTAAGAATCAGGTATTTGTCTATTGCCACACACTTTACTTCCTTTGGCCACAAGCTTCTGAGATTTTGATTTGTATCTTTTCATTCTTTCTGTCTAATATACTTTGGCCTTGTTCTTCCTCCTCCCTTCTGCACTACCCGGCTTTGTCCATTCCCCTGAGTCTTATGCAATTATATAATCTGGCCAATCTCTTTGTGACTCCAGACCAGTCATTATCAACTCTGGCTACACATTAGAATTACTTGGGGATATAATTCGTCTGTGTTGGATCCTAGGTTTGCATATATTTAAAGGTACTCCAAATGACTTATAGGTAAAAGGAAATAAGAAACGGGCATCATTTATAAATGGGATCATCTCCTTCCTTTACCTAGCTAGCCTAACCTTTTCTTCTTCCAGTAATTCTCAGAGAGGACATAGAAGGTTCCAGGTGGGTGTTTGTTGGCTTTAGAATGTTTGATCTGGCAATGCTTCAGCACTCCGGGAATGTGGTGGCCTGCTTTGTGGGCTTATAGGCAATTTTAGGGGTCACAGGATGAACAGGAAGTACAGCAAGGTTTTTTTTTTCTTTTTTCTTTATTTTTTGAATAGCTATTTTTTGAGGTATAATTGATATACAAAAAATTGCACATATGTAACATATACAATTTGATGAGTTTGGACATAAGGCATACACTTATGAAACCATCACCACCAAAGAAATAGACATATTCATCACCTCCAAAAATTTCCTTGCGTCCTTCTGTTTTGATTTGTTTTTGGTGGTAAGAAAATTTAACAGGAGATCTACCCTCTTAACAAGATTTTAAATGCACAGTATAGTATTGCTAACTACAGGCGCTATGTTGTACAGCAGATCTCTGGAATTTACTCATCTTGCATAACTGAAACTTTATACCAATTGAACAACATCCCCCCATCACTCTTTCATTCATGGTTCTAAAAACAGCAGATGGATTATGCAGGGCTTTTAGAATCTTCAATAAAGTGAAAAGGGGAAAGGAAGCTCTAGGTTGCATGAATTTACATAGAAAAAAGATTTGCCTCAGTCATTGTACGTTACAGTATATATGGTATCACTGTTTGGAGTGATTGTGGGTCTGGTTCTTTTTAAAATACTTAGGGACATCCTGGCTATAAAGACACAAGGCATTTTGCACAGGTTGTGTGTTTAAGCTCATGGGAAGAGAGTCATAAAGCATATCCTCCATGTCCACCTTCTGCTGGGGATTGAGAAAACTCTTTTCTCTTTGCCTAAGCACCTGTGTTGAATTTGGTAGCTGTGGTGTTTGGACTGATTCAGCAGTAATTAATCTCCAGGCTAATTATGAGCTCTGTTGTCATTTTGCTAGATGTAATTAAACTGCATAGCTGGAGAAAGTTTGGAAACTGCGGTTTCCAAGAAAACTCTTCCCTGTAACTTGGCAAGGAGCTCAGGAGTGACAACATAATCAGCCAATTAAATATAAGCTGGAAGCCCGATGTCCTTCAGGATGAGTTTACAGGAGGAAGACAAATGTATGTTCACAAGAGGCACTTGCTGCTTTACTGCTGCCTTTTTGGAGAGGGTTTGGAGTATTCTAGAGGTTTTCTCTCATTAATCCTTTTGATAGCTTTTTTAAACAGAAAGTGGGGTAAGCTTTTTAGGCCCTTTCAAACAGATGAGATGATTAATATTGTAAAGGTCAACTGTTTTGTTAAAGGGCATAGTGACCACAGGTCAGAAGAGCTTTTGATGATGCATTTTCTTAGGAAATATGCTTATCAGCTCAGATTCCTATAACAACCCTCAAATACAGAAGGAGGTTATACTGGCATGAAGATATGAATATGTTCTTTGGTGAATAAATTCTTTACGTCTTTGGGGCCAAGGTTCTGTTCCATTTTTTCAGTTTAAGGTGAGGAGATATAGATCATATGCTAACTGTAAGCTAATGAACAGAGGGTGTTGCTGAATCACACTGGCCTTGGCCTTGCCTGACCAAGAACATCTACTGTAGTTACAGTGTTTCCAAAAGTGTGTGTAGGTGGGTATATGTGTTCCACTGGTCACACTCAAGAACTCAGGATGATTTGGGGTGATACATGATATATGAATAAGTAGAGTTTTAAATTGTTGGGTGTTTTTCATAGTCACCTTTTATTTATGGCAAAGGCCTTCTACTAACAATCGTAGAAAAATGGTCCTTTTGAGAAGAATTTATTTTAGTATAACTGTGAACCATATAAATTGTTAAGGAATGATATGGCTGATAGAGCCCAAATCGTGAAGATGGCCCTTGAATGACCAAAGTTTGAAAAAAAGGGGCCTCCATCCATTGTCACCTACTCTTAAGAGGTCTGTCTGTCTGGTTCCTTTGCCTCAATAGTAACTTATCTTGTGAAAGGTGCGTCAGCTAAGAAAACTAACACGTTATGCTCTTAAGTCAAAGGTGTATGCCATTATTATTGCAGTCAAGAAAAAATAGTGAAAAACTTACCCAAGCTCTGCTTGGTGTCTCCCAAATAATTTTAGTGCCCAACTATTTGACTAACAAAGGCCTGAATCTTATGAGCGTAAGATTTAGTGACCACAGGTTATGATTATCCCGAGAGAGTGTTTGTCCTTTCCCTGGCATGCCAAGGAACAAATGGCCATACTTATATCCTTTTCTTCTTAACCATGACAGAGCTATAAATGGCCAGAGACCCAGGTCTTGCACATTGACTTTGGCCTTCGGAAATAAGTACTGGAGACTCTACAGGGAAATATCCCAATCCACACTTCTCCAATGCCTGATACACAAAAGGACATGGATGAATCTCAATTTGTGTTAAGTGAAGGAAGCCAAAGTCAAAATGGTGCATACTCTATAATTATGTTTGTATGAATTTCTGGACAAGGTAAAACTATAGGGATAGAAAACATACTTGAGGTTGCTAGGGACCCGTGGTCAGCTTCAAAAGGGCATGGGAAACTTTTCAGGATGATGGAATTATTCTCTATCTTGATTATGGTTGTGTGACTATCTCTGTCAAAACTTCTAGAACTGTACACTAGAAGGAGTGAATTTTACTGGCTGTAAATTATACCTCAATAAGCCCGACTGAAAAAGAAATGTGTTCTTAGTGCTTCGGAAGAAGAATTACAAGTACAGCGTGAAATAACAGTCAAACTAAAACGAAAGGCCAACGAATAGCTGCAAATCATTCCTTGAGCAATGAGAAAGTCAGATTCAACCTTTGAATTGACTTACATTGATAGACATCCCCTTAATCTGTATGTTTAGAGTGGAAATGTCAAGTGTATGCTTTTATACAAACTGTTTCCATTCAATCTCTTTGTTTTTGTTCATGACTAGATTCATTTCAGTCCTACTGCTCCTTATAGTGGGGAAAATGTTTTAGGTCCTGGCAACGTTATCACGGCAAAAGGTGGTTTCCCTGGCTTGATACTCCACGTAGTAAGTCAGCGGATACTGATTGACCTGTAGCACCTTTTCCATATAAGGCACCATCTCCCTTGTTTGTGGTACAATTAGGAAATGCCTAACCTTTTGGAGATAACATATTCAGAATTATTTGGGAATGGCTAACTTATTAAATGGTTTCATCCAGTGCAAATAAAGATTCATTTACATGTGAAATGGACTTTTGCAAGGAGGTGGGCAAGTAGCCTGAGTTGGGAGATGACAAGCTAGACGCATGAGGACAGTGGTCTGTGGTATCATGGGTGCAGCTTTCCCTGGAGGCACGTAGCTGGGCTGGATAGCTTCTTGAAACCTACACTTGCCCTCTGGTTTGGTAAAGTAAGAACTACCCAAAGCTTTTAATATTAAGAGTTGATGAAAACTTGTTTAAGTTAATACCAAATAAATCGAGTCATTTAAGAGAAAACACGGCACATTTTTAAAGGTTCCTCTATCTTGAAATATAATGTATTAATGTATAATGTATTAAATGTTTTCATAGACATTGTTTTCATAGGACTAGTTTATTTTCTTTTGAAGGATATGTCTATTGTTGCCAATTCAGATGAATCCATAGTTCAAATAAGAAGTACCCTTTCCTTGTGACTTGTTAGGGCTTTTTTAAAATGTAGTACAAGAATGTCTGATAAATATGTAGTTTTAGCCTAGTTTTCATAATTGTAAGTGTTGTGATCCACGTGCTGACTTTCAAAAATTCCATTGTATTTACCTTTCTTCTCTTGTTTTCTGGTGATCTTTAGACAGCTAACTGTGTTCACTTTCTGATGCCTACGACACTGTTTTCCTCCTTTACCAAAGAATGCAACTTTGAAGAACAAGCCCTCAGGATTGTTTACTGATCACAGACCCACTTACTTCTTCTCAGACTTTGCAAACAATCCAGAACAGCCCCTTTCTGTTGATTCATTTCCAAATGGCCTTGTTAGGATACTGCCCACCTCTGTGGCTTCATTTCACAAATTTCTTTTTGGCTGTGTTTCTCATCACAGCACCAAATAAATGTTATCATATCTCTCACTTATCTCAGGTTTACTATCAATGCATCATTAACTAACATTGCTGGAGCAATTCTTTGTGGTGGGCATGTGTTGTTTGTTCTTGACTGGGGAAACATTTCCCTTTCCTGTAGTAACTAACACTTGGGTGATTCTATCCAGGGGTCTCCTGAAGTACTCATTCGTTTGCTTTGCATCTCTGTCTGCTCCAGTGGCTGGGCACACGCTTGAACAATGCCCAGCGGAGTCCCTTCCTCTGGCCCAAGGCTAATGGCTCATATGCTGATGGATGCACAACCTACTGTGTTTGCCCGAAAATAAGACCTACCCATAAAATAAGCCCTAGCAGGATTTCTAAGCATTTGCACAATATAAGCCTATCCTGAAAATAAGACCTAGTGGTGGCTGTGGCTACGCAGCGTATCTGCACAACCCAATGCACTCTCGGAGGAGCAGTAAAGAAGACGAGCAGCAGCTTCTCATCTGCCCCAGGAGAGCTTCTATTGCTTGACATGAGAGAGATTGGGGCCAATGTTCTAAAGGAAATAGGAGTCGCCAAGAAATTCAGGACGGAATTCAGGGTTTGGAGAGTTATGATGATGTTCCAGAAGAAGAACGACTTAACTATATTTGAATAAATGTAGATTGTTGTACGTACTTAAAAGAATAAACATCCTTGAAAATAAGCCCTAGGGTGTCTCCTGAGGAAAATAAATATAAGACTCTGTCTTAGGCGGGCACAGGTGGCTAACCTGCTAATCCTAGCACTCTGGAGGCCGAGGCAGGCGGACTGCTCGAGGTCAGGAGTTCAAAACCAGCCTGAGCAGAGTGAGACCCCGTCTCTACTATAAATAGAAAGAAATTAATTGGCCAACTAATATATATAGAAAAATTAGCCGGGCATGGTGGCGCTGGCCTGTAGCTCCCAGCTACTCAGGAGGCTGAGGCAGGATTGCTTGAGCCCAGGAGTTTGAGGTTGCTGTGTGAGCAGGCTGACGTCACGGCACTCCTCTAGCCTGGCCACAAAGTGAGACTGTGTCTCAAAAAAAAGACCTTGTCTTATTTTCAGGGAAGCACAGTAAAGCAAGCCATGACGAATCAATTCTATGACATTTTGCCAGGTTTGTTGGAAAGGAAGCCTCTTTCTGATAGTGGTTACTTACCAAGTGCAATACTTCTGGGCTATCTGTAATCCCACTATAAGAACGTCTTTAGAGAATGAAGCCAGTGCAGAGGAACCACAGCCAGGAATGGAGAGAGAAATTCTTATGTCCTCCTTAAAAACCTGATCCAACTTGTCTGAAGCTGATATCAGTATATTCTTCCACAAGCCAATATTTTTTCACCTAATTAAAGTTGGATTCCATCCCTTACTAAAGAAGACTATGGACTAAAACACTCATTAGGGTGCAGAGATTCTGGAATGGCTGATTTCTAGGCCTTGCCAAAGTTTGCATAAGCAGAAAGTTATGAAAAGTTATAGTATTAGATCGAACATTAGCATTACCTTCAAAACGCTGCTATTTTTCTCTTTATCCCAGGATGTTCTTGTTTAGGTCAGGTTTATGTGCCATATATTTCTTTCTTATATGGTAGACTGCAGAGAAAGAAGGAGCCTGGACATGCTATTCGCCTTCTTGTCCCTAAATATGCTACACAAGTGCTTTGTCATGGGAAGATGTTCAAGAAGTCTTTAGTGAGTTTACCTAAAGAAGCAACTAATATTACTCAGGGTTTATGGATGAGGTCAATGCTCATTAGCCATAGAAAGTCATACCGTTTTTTGGGTTAAATGGCCATTTTTTTTTTTTTTGCCTGTTCGGGTCTTCAACTTAAATTGCTGCCACTAGATGTTTGAGTTTTTGTTCTATTCCATGGCAAGGAAATGTTTCTGAGGCTTAGCTACTACACAGAGCCAGCTCTGCGGGGAGAAGGGGGAATTGGGGAGGTAAGGCTTTAGGGGATTTACAGTTTTAACAAAGAATGATGCCTTGATTTCAAAATAATGTTAAATTAACTTGTTCTTCTTTCCAAACAACACTGGCAAACCATAAAATTTAAGTTTAATAAGAAAAGGAAAATGCAGGAAAAAACACTCCATGATGCAAAACACGTGCATAACAACATATCTGATTGTCAATGCATTGCCTTTGACCTTTTCTGGCTTCCCAATATACTCCTAGGCCTAGTTTACATAGTTGCACTATGAAAACCATTTACTACAGCTTATTAGAGACAAAATGTCCTCGGACAAGGTTGATTCTTTGTTTATTCTCAGTAGCTGTGAGTCTTTGTCTTCCTTCGCAACCAAACCTGAAATGAACTTCGTTTCTGTCTGATTATTTGCTTCAGAAGTGGTAGCATCTGAAGTACTCTCTCCAGAGGTATTAACTAGATTCTACACGGAATATTTCTTTTTAAATTTTATCATACAGGCATGGAAGGGGAAGGCATTCCTCTTACAGGGGTGATTCGTTGGTATCTGAGGACAAAGAAGCAGTGCTATTCCACTGCACATAGGTACAATCAGGAGAAGGAAACTGGAAATGCACAATGTGATGTTGGAAAGACCTGTGTCCTTCTCTGTCTTGTTCTGCCATTCTGGGGATATGAAATAACGATGGGTCTAGTTTAATAATTCCTTTCTATGATTCATCATTAGGCCTAATCTGGGATTCATAATGCTTTCCATAAGAGGGTGGCAGCTGGGATCAGAAAGACACAGTGCGAATTCGCTGCTAAGACTGTAAGGCTCATAAGTGTGACAAGCCACTTAAGCTTTTTCAAGCTTAGTTTACTCATCTGTTCCCCATTCGGGTTGCTGTGAGGATGACAATGGGTCTAATGTCTATGAAGCCAAAAGCACACAATGGCGGTTAGTAGCAGTGGTTAGAGAGTTAGCAGGACTGGTTATTGTTGTAATGACTTCTAGAAGAAAATCAAGTGTTTCCTTCCTTAGGACATGACTGCCCTAAGGGGCAAAGTCCATTTTTCCCCCCAGGGGTTTATACAGTTATGGCTGGCTAGGCACCTTCACCGTTCCCATTTCCCGATGTGCCCCTGCAAGTATATATATGTTGGGTTTGGAACAGGCGTGTCCTTCCAGGAATGGGAGAAAAAACTGTCCTCAGTTTGAGGGTATTGCCTTTCAGGAACACGGGAATGAAAAATAGCAGATAAGAACTGGGGGCCAAAAAACGCTGTTCCCAATTGTGAGAATTTAAACCTAAATGTTGGTTTCATGTAGGGCGTGAATTTTTTGTTTCTTGTCTGTCGAAGGACATTAATTCCAACAAAACTAGCTTGATCCTGAAGTTGAGCCCAATTTTTTACAAGGAATAATGATGCTTACTGGAGATTGCAACAGCTATTACGTAGGAATAATAAAGATGCCACGGAGGGAGGAAGAATTCTTGCACTCTTTTGTTCTCTGTTGATCACCCCAGCTCCCAAACAGTGCCGCATAGAAGCAAGGCATTCAATTAATAATTATGGATGAATGAACGTGCTGCTGCTAAGGAGAAAGAACAGGTGGGACTTGGGCTGAATTTTCAGCTGATGAATAAATGTGGCGCTTACAAGAAGTAATTAAATTGGAAGCCAACTTGGGCTTAACCTGGGAAACTGGAAAATTCCTTTTTCTTGGCCGAACCGTTTTATTAAGATTGCGGCTCTCACTCGTCCGTATCTCAAGATTGCTGTCAGGGTGACCTTTGAAGAGAAGAGGACACGGCCAAATAGAGTTCTGAGTTTAAAGGTTCCAGAAATCTAACTGGCAAACCTCCCCTATCTTGGTTGCAAGGGAGTTTTGCCTCGTCTGTGGGACTGGTTGGTAGCTTTTCCCAGGCTACGGGGAGATTTATCCATGGGTTAATTCTTTCTACCCCAAATCTTGCTTAAGATAACTTTTCCTATTGCAGAATCCATTATTTGCTTGCCGTATACTTACTTCATTGCAAGCCATCTGCCAGCTGGGTGTGTGCAACATCATAGTGGCCAGAGATGTGTTATACATAGATCACCTTTTCCCTCACAGCAAAGCAGGAATTAGTTCCTTGGTATCTGGCCATAGTAAATAGCTAAGTTAACATTTGGTTGCTTTCTGTCGAAGCCTTGCTCAGGGGTTCAGATAGATACCAGATTTGTGTGTCCCAGACCATCTTTCATAATACATACATGTCATGGTTTCTCTTTACCTTTCAAAAATAGTGTCAGTAGATCAAGTACTTCTTTGCTTTCCCGATGAATAATGGCGTCCTCTTCAGCTCTCCTCTGAAACAAGGCATGTTCACCAAAAGATTTCCTGAAACTTTTTGGGTAGAA